CTCCATTGTCATTTCTTCTGTCTCTGTAAAAAGAAAAAAGAAAAAACGCAAACATGTGTCTGAAACTAACCTTGGCTTCAGAACATAGAGTCTGTAATGTTCTTGTTGCCTTTTGGAGATCTTTGACCTGATTCACGTGGAAGCTTCAGTGGACTCATCAGTGAGAGGTATAGTAAAGGTAAAGGCGTACAATACAACTTACCAACTGGATGATTAGTTCGTTATGATCTTGAAAATGTGCTTCCAGGAAATCAAAAACTGCACATTTTTTTGTGTGTTTTCAATATCAAATATCAATTTAATAAGCTAGATAAATCAGGTAATTCAATTCTTGTCTGTTACGGAGATGGAAGAGATTATACCTTTTAGAAATGAGTCCACATACTTCCCACCATACTTGATAGCCATGCCATGGATTGTAACCTGTTTGAGTCGTTATAACACCAACATAATTACAGTAATCCGTGCATATATATCTGACAGTTTGCATACGCAATGCGTCTATGTTCATGATACATAACAAGGAAAACCAGTTACCTTTTGATGAGATCGGCACAAGTTGACTAAAGACACTACCACATTTACAGTCTTCTGAATGTTTTTTAAGTAAGCTTTGGTAGCTTCAGGTTGACAGTTTTGTCGTTTCTCTGAGCTAATAGTCTTTACCTAAACAGGATAAACACAGTGGAATCTATTAAATTTTATGCCAGAAAAGATCGTAAATAAGTGAAGAATCCGACAAAAAGAAGATGGATTACTGACCTGTTTGTTGAGAATTGCAAGGTTTTCTTCATGCTGCATAAAGCACACCGCGGAAGTGAGGCTATTAGTTTCTAACAGGAGACCAAAATAAATATGAGATATCTATGAATTTTCCTTACCAGTGTCTTGTACCATCCTCTAAAAGTTGCTGAACATAGTGTAGGGAATTCGTGATCACGGGCATCATCTTCTCCTGTTGACTTGGATAAAGAGGCCTGAGACGAATAAATTCCATACGCAAACGACTTTAATTATGTGATATTGTTATTCATATGAAATAAGTGGGGTATGTAACAGTTAATCAACTCAGCAGGGATAATCTGGTTTTAGTTTCCACAAACCATAACTCAAGTGTGGAAGTTTATGTTTTTAAAGCTTTTGATAAAAGTAGAGCCCAGAGGAACACTTTTCCATGTACCTGAGGCAAAATGGTACAGGCAAGCTCATCGAGCAAATCTGATGTAGATCCACTGGTTTCCAGGTATATTCGCAATATGTTCTGTACCATTTCACCCTGCGGAAACCCAAAGCTATACACATTGAGAATATTGAGCGCACTACCGTAAATTTTAAAATCCATTAACGCAAACTGGACGTACTTTATTCTTCAAGCCCTTATTATCAGTACTTTCATCAATCCATTGATGCCTGAGAAGTTTCTCAGCAGAAGCTCCCAGTTTGGCATGCAGACTGGGTACGAGACCCTGAGCATGGCCTGAATATCTCTTTTTAGTAGCTTCTTCAGATACCTTACCAAGATATTTTTGTGCAGAGGTCACCAGTAACTGTAGAGTGAGAAGACATTCGAAGGCCAGATCAAATGAGAAGGAACAAGCTGCAACAACATTTAACAATCGCAACGGGAGTTAGAATAAGATAGCATATGACAGGGAATGATTGGTGAACCAAGAAATTCTTTTACCGCTATTTAAAATATCTTCAAAAAAACAATAAGCGCCAATACACAAGTACTCCTTTGTCCCACGCGAAGGGAAAGGTTGAAAGTCCGGAAAGCTGGCAACTGGTATTTCAGTTGGCTGGAAGGCTTCAAGAAGATTCAGCAGCAGTGATTTGTCTGTTTCAAACCCAGGAAGGGTCAACATCTGTAAAAGAACAAGTTAGAGAATTGAAATTAGCATCTTGTATCTAAGTTAAGATTAAAAGAAAATATGGTAAACCATGTGCATCACAAAACTGGCATCGGACAAGATATAAATTACCTTGCTGAAACAGTATAAAACTTCTTTGCACACCATTGTGTAAATCAGAGATTCAGAAACCATAATATTAAATGTGTTCGGATTTCCGGCCATAGCAAACTCATCTCTCCAAGTAGTTTGAGAAGTTTCATCACCTATTAATAATTAGGTCAGATTAGAATAAGCTAAATCAATATCTTTAGTTTGCAGCAGGTTGATCATCTCCAGTTATCTTACCTTTTATCAGCAAGGAAATTGCTATATTCAAATGCATCCTGAGGCTTGGAAAAAGTTCTTTTATTTGACTGACAAGTTCAATCATTTTGAACTTCCCCAAAGTACCTGGAGCACTTCCACGTTTGAAAGGTTGTTGTTTACCAGGAGGAACAAGACAATCCAGCTTGGTGTGAAGATCTTGTAAAAGATACAAATACAGGGGTAGCTAGCATAGAAAATAACAAGACGTTAAGTTGTATTTCTCATAACTAAAAAATGTAGGGCAGAGTATGTTTGGTAATTATATCGGTACCTCAGCTTTATAATCAGGGCTCCCTATGTCTTGGCTTCGCACCTATATGTTAAAGTCAACAATATTAATCATATCCTTGTCGAATCTATACAACACTCATGATTGTTATGCACCAGTTCTTCCTAACAAGTTACCCTTGTAACGCCATCAGATGTTATGACATATAAGCTTCGTTAGGCAGGTACTGCTGCCTTTGATGGCATTCCAATAGTATAACATAAAATTAGACTAAAATTCAATGTGAATTTCATGGGATATTTATATTAAGTATTTGTGACGCTTCACTGGAAATACTAGTAGATACTAGCATTCAACCCGAGTAAAGGGTTTGAATAGGCTGACCTTTGGAAATTTTAAGATGGTAAGGCATTGAGGAAGAAGAGGCCTGAACTTGAATCTTTGGGCTTCAAGTGCTGGGGAAACTTGAGGAATCTTTACACACAGAGATTCATTATCAGAACAATTTTCATCCATTGACCCTGCTGCTGCCTTGCCATCCAAAGATGAAAGGGAAGGATTTTCATGTATCTGTGTTTCACTTTGACTTATCACTGCTCCTGCTTTCTTGAATGCGTCCATAATAGTTGGCTGTCGTAGCTTTTCATTCACATTTGAGTGCTTTGATTTTTTCATGTTTCCCTTGCGTTGGGAGGCATCATCATGTAGCTTCCTCTTATCATTCTTCTTCTCGGCATGCTGTACGTGAGTACGTTGGCTTCTGGTTGAACATCCAAAGTGTTCAGAATAAGGATGGAGCTCCGGTAGAGACTGAGGAGATAGCGTAATCAAATTGCTCAACAAGCTTTCCAAGAATCTGCTCTACCAAGTTTTGTATTCATCAGAATTTCATCAAGAATAGGCTTTATGACGACCAACGACGTCTGAAACAAGAGTGTAAAACACAGCAGCACATTACGAAGCTTGAAAGGTGAAAAAGTAGAATGAACATACACTAGATTTCTGAGTCGCTTCAGAAGCTTTGTTGTTACATCCTTTTCTGTAGCCTGACTAATGCAGCCCAATCTTTCATCAATTTGGGAACTGAAGGCGTTAAGCTGCAAAAGGAAACAAAAACATATAAAAACAATAACAGTATAACAATGTTGCAGATGTACAGGGCCATGTCACTCACAAGTTCTCGTATCCAGTTTGCAGCATAATATAAAGAGAGGGTGAGGATTTCTTTCTGCTTCTTTGTCAGAGATGGCCAACCAGCTGCAGCAAAGTACTTAAACATTGGACAAGAAATCCCAAACATCAGCAAACCAGGGACAGTACAAACAGATAAATATGAAGGTGGTCTGATCTTAACAATGTTCAGGAATCATGTATAGAAGAATTTCAACCTTTCTAAAGGAAGCCTAACAGTTTAATCTACAATCGTGCAGAGGTTGGAGTGCAAATTAACTGGAAACATACAATATGTTTCTTGATGAAAACCTAGTCCCTCACCTTGGAAGAAGGAAGGTGCAAAGGGCATCCGAGCAAAGCATCGATCCCGGCAAGGGATCCATCATTTGTCAACCTCTCAACCTGAATGTAAATGAAAAAGCATTGAAGAAAATAGCCTCAGCCACGCTTTTTAAAAACCAAGAAGCATTCAGGATCGTTCTAGTTTATTGAAATAGCCTGCAGAAAATCTTACAGTTGATAGCAACAGAAAATTTGAAGGAAGAATCTGCAGACAGCAGGACCTGCAGACAATGTGATTTTTAGTCCAGTTGTCACAAAGAAATCTTCAACAGTGATTGAAATAAGGGATAATCTCTTAAAACTAACTCGGAGGATGACGATGCCAGGGCCAAAATGTTCAAACAGATTGGTGATATACTACCATCCAAGTTCATCCAAAGATCCCCTAAACGATCATAAGAAAGGAAATGGAGCTCAACCATACAATGCTCAGAAGAAATTCAATTAATTTAAGTAGAACTATGTTCAGTATATTTATAATACCTTCCAGTCCTGAATATGAGCATATATCAGCCAACTTTCCGTTGTCAAGATCAGCTAGAAATAGCGACTCAAATTCTCCCAGATGCTTCCCAATCCTGAAAAGCAGTATAAATTGTACTTTGGATGAAGTTTATGATTACTGTGGTGCCTTGAAAACTACTATAAGCTAGCAGAAAACTGTTACTGAAATCTGCACCATTCCATAATTTCTGGTTGAAGTAATTTATGGCTGAGAATTGTTGCGAATTCATCATAGAAAATAATTAGGGCTAAGTTTGACTGTCTGCAAGAGTCGACAGATGTCTTTAAGAGCTCCAAAATCTCTCCACAATCTGAAACCTGCAAAATGACAAATTTGATAGGTATCAGCAGAGAATGCAACAACTCAATAAGAGAATTCCTCTTGGGAAATAAAGTTTGAGGTAGGAAGTTTTTTTCTTTTTGGTCAACAGGTAGGAAGATGACTTCAACCAACTACCAATAATTTCTGGATGTACCTGTGATAATGAAAAGTCAGGAACACTCTTTGCATCTCCAAGTGATGAAACGATCCTTAGAGTTCCAACTAAGCCCATCTTTTTGTATTTGAGGTCGGGATGACTAACCTGCCATTATAAAACCAGACCATTGGGAGTGAGCTGCCATCAACTACGAAACCAAATAGAAGGCGAGATGATTCACACTACCTGCTTCCTCACTATCATCATAAGCTCATTTGAAATCGAAGATCGAAAAGAATCAGCACTTGCACGAGCTGATAGTGCAAGGAGACTGAAAACCTCATAGACCTGCAATTATGTCTACTTTATATACAATATATTGTCATACCAGGCAGATTATAAAGATAAAAACCCACCTTATGCAAATTTTCAACAGAAAATCCCTCTAAGTAGTCCAAAATACCTATATGACACGAAACAATCAGAATACTGGAAAAAGAAAAGCAAGTGATCATCATTAGTGTATATATACAACAAGTTCTAGAGATACCATTAATGTGGGAAGAAAAGGGAAGGAGTTGCTGTGCATATTTTTTCACCAGAGCCGTCATCATCTCCAAGACAGAACTGACCTCAAATTTGTTATCAGATCCCACATGTGTCACTAGGGCACCTAGTATCTGCCGACCAATTCGAATTAGAACAAAAGTGGACTAGTTATGCTAAAAGTTAATATACTAGTAGATGAAATTGCTAGCATGTCCTTACCTCTTGTCTGGAATAATTGTCCGCAAACCCCTCAAAAAGACGAGTATAGATATGAGAGCCAATTTCCCTTGCCTTTTCTTCTTTGCATGATAAGAGGTGTTCAGCCAAAGAAATAAATGATGCAAAATTATCCTAGAACAATAAGTGAGTCAGGTTAATTTTGCAAAAGAACATTCTCACATTTTGCTGGAATCAGACACTTCTCAAAAAAATTATGAAGATTACCTGCACAAAGTCTTTATTACCACCTATACATTGATCAAGCAAGGCTTCTTGTATGCATCCATCAACTACTTTCTTCTTAAATATCTTCTCAATGCACTTCCGGATGGGATCCCCATTCATGTACATAAGAATAAGCAGCCATACATCGATTACTTTGAAATCCCGAGGTTTCTCCAGACTATTCAGCTCCTTTATGATTTCTTGACAGAGTATCTACAAACAGAAAATAAAGTGATGCCAGATAATGACAAACATTCTTAAACAACTGTAATGAAACCAACTTACATTCTTAAATCGAAGGCTTGATCTTAAAGCATGGAGAAGAGAACCTTCCGTATCATACGCAGGTACTTTTCCTTTGAGTTTATTGTGAGAAGCACAAGGTTGAGACATTCCCGTGAACTTCAACTGTTCGCGTATCTGGGAGATTATTCTTCTAACATTTGCTGGAGTAGCAGCAAGAAGCAAAAACCTAAGTAGATACGGCATGTGCTCTGCGTCGATTGTTCTAATACATGATATTGCTACTGTAATCGCCTTTTAAGAAAGGGAAAAGTTAAATGGATTCCATCAGTACCATGTACAATGAATGCAGAACCTTAAATCAATGATGAATCAGAACCTTACCTGTTCCTGCAATTGATCATCTAAATTGAGGTTTGAGAAAGAATCAAGTACTGGAACGACAACAGCAGAATCCTCCTGAAGCATCTTCTCTAGAGAATCAACCACAGCCTTACAGTTGTGATCCCCAATAATCTCTGGCAACGATCCAATGATTTCTTTCTTTAAATGCAGAGGACAAATTGATAAAACTTCCATCAGTTTATCGGTAAACACATCGGAATTAACAATAAAGTCTAGCCAACGGAAATGGTTGATGATAAGGCGAGCAACATCTTCCTCCAGGGAACATCCTTGAACGACGTCGAAATACTCCGGAAGCTTCTCTACTAACATTTCCTGAAGATCAAGTTGAATTGGAGATACAAGCAAGAGATTTCGAACTAAAGTCTCGTTTCTCTTAGTTGTTGAAGAAGACGAAAGCACTCTACATGAGAGATATGAAACAAAGCAGGTTACGGAATTGAATATCAGTTTTGATTTAGCAACTCGAGTGGAGAAATACTGACCTACGAAGATTACTCGGCGATTGAATGTATGACGAAAACCCAGCTACGAAAAGTGAGCGAAGAGCACCGACTTTATCTCTCTCGCCGGAATTAGTGGAGCAAGAGGAGAAGCGACTAGTGAGATGGCGGCGGAAAGAGTGGAGATCTGAGGGAAGACACGGCGGACCGTACGGGTTCATCAGTGTGCATCCAGCTTCCGCTAGAATCGCAGTCATCTTCTCCACCGCGTCGGGTTCTACGGATTCCTTTTGCGGTTGGGGTAGTTTGACAGACGGAGCAGCTGAGGACGATGACGACGGAGGCGGTGGAGGTGGAGGCTTTTTGCGAGACAGAAACACCATTTTTTCCGGTGACGGTAATTTCAACAGAAGATCGCCGAGAGACGGATATTACTCCGATTTGATTCTCCGATTGAAGAATTTTGTTTTCGAAATTTGGTAACCCTGAAAAGAGCGAGCGCCAAAGTTTCAACAGAGAAGCGCCAGTGTCCTCTTCACACGACACGCGATCTGTGAACGTAAAAGCGAAACGGCACGGTATGTAACCAAAATACAGATAAAACTGGAAACTACCTGCCGTTTACCTTAATTACACATAAACTACACGTGATTGTACAAGAAGAATACAAGGCTCAAGGAAGAAACTAGCTATTGCAAAGTTGTTCAAAGTATTGTGATTACATTCACACCCTGCATTTCTTAGCTAGAGGTTCACAGTCTTTATAAATCTCCAAGCCAGACTGATCAAGTTGATCTTCCGTAAAGCAAGCACAACGTTTGCTCATCGAGCCCGTTATCGCTATCTCCATAGGTCTTTGTACCAATCTCGGCACTCCAACATCACACCAAACCTGTACAAATAGCTTATCCTTTAGTATCTATGTTTTGAATTCCATCTTCACATTCTAATTCTCCTCTTTAAACTAGATTCATACCTCTCCACCTTCATCTTGACTCCATCGTGAGTTGCAACTCGGTTGCTTGGCTTCTTCAATCTTTTGTTTCTCCATGAGTTGTTCACCTCTGGAGGCTTTTGCTTCAACTCCTTTCAGATGTTTAGTTGGATTCCCTTGGCTATCGTAGTACCGGCCAACAAGTTTCCCAACAGGACTGTAATCACAAACTAAAAGCTGAGAACCAAACCAAGATGAATTTATTATATAGGTATTAAGGTGAGCCATTATCCATACACCATCTTCTCAGTTCTTACACTATGGATCAGCCTTTTATTGTCTGAATGAAACATATAACTTACGTGTAGGTCCTGGTGTAGAAACCTCGCCAGTCAACAATGCTCTTCACCTACAAAGAAGAAATCTAAATCAAACATGTAACAGTTGTACCAGACATGAGTTCATTGAACGCACATGCACTAAACATAATCGGATTTGTGAAGTCTCAAACAGTTAACAAAAATACAAGTTAAATCAATATTATAGAAAGTATGAAGAGATAAGCACATCTGGCACAATGCAAGATCAAAGACTACTTTAGACATTTCCATCATTTTCATTGATAAACAGGTAAAGCTAGAAAAGCATTACCTCACTGCTAGATAACCCACGTAATGAATCTGTAAGCCCATCTCCTGCGCAAAAAAGAATCATAATACATAAATGTGAAGTCTCAACAGATTTCAGGGACTTCACGTATACTGTTCTGCAAATAGCTAGCAAAGTTGAATGATTATGACTTGTTTATGAATGACGAACACTGCTTATGAGGACCGAAAGATGTGAAATGAGAAGATGCAAAACATTGGGGAAAGAAGAGATTAAACCTCTTTTTTTTTGGGAATTTCATGTCAATGTCAATAAGTAACCAAGAGAAGCGGAGACCCATATATTACAAAAGTTCCAAGAAGTTTGTTGGATCAAAAAAGTACGGTGATCATTGCCTAAAACTTTTCGTTATCCACTAAAAATGCAGCAAACAATTCGTACCTGTAAAGTTCCCCGAAACAAATGCACGAGAAGCGTCTCTGAGCAAAAGAATTACATGGAGAAAATTCCCATCAGCGAGAAACATACAGGATTAATACAAGGAGGATAGAAGAACAAACAAGAAATCTCTCCAAAAATTTGATCAAAGAAGACAAACCTTCCAGCAAAATGGCTGTAACCACCACCACTACCGTAATGAGATTTTCCTTTCGTCACATCAAACACAGATCTGCATTGCACATATGTAAAGTCACTCACTTTACAAGTTGTTTAGGAGGTGCACATATGTGTTACTTTCCAAAACATGATAAAAGAAGGAAGTTAAAGACTTACCCAAGAATCCCTAAGAGAATAGGTAACGTTTCATCAGTCCCATTGTACAATGCCAATTCTTCAACAGAGAATAACCTCTTTTGATATCCAAAGCAAAAGAAGAAAGAAGAAAAAAAACCCATCAAAACTGGAGACAGAATCAAATCCAAGACACAATTGTGATTAAACTCAAGACAGACCCATATCATGACCAAGTATCGAACATAAACAAAAAACACAGAGACAAACTTCGTTGGTTTCAATCAGAAAGTACATAAACTTCATTGGTTTGATCTCGAGGTAACTCGTGTCGACTTTGAGATTTTCCAGAAAGAGGAAGATAGTTAAAAGAAGAGAAGTGAGTACTTGGTGGTGTGGAGACTTGAGGGAAGATCTGAAGTAGAGAGCTACGAGAACGACGATCAACGTGATCCCAAAAAACGGAGATAGCAAAAATCTCCTCGCCGGAATCATCGATTGGATCCGATTTGCGTTTGTAATGTATTCCAAAATCTACCGAACTTTTTAATTACGGAATATGAGGACGTTTATCTAAAGAACAAAAAAGTCAGGGCTGCTAAATTGAAATTCTTGGGAAATGAACTTAGGGTGCATTTTAATGATTTTATAATTGCCCATTAAGTTTGAAAGAGAAGCCCAATTATATCTCTTTTTGCTAATTTATATTTCTTTCTAAGGTTAATTAGTTGAATATTAGGTTTATGATAGATAAGTAGTAAAGTAACATATGTATAATATGATTTAGATAAATAGCAAAGAGATAATAAAAAGTTGGACGAATTTGTCCCTACGAAAATTGTTAAAGGAAAGTAGTACGTATTAAAAAAAATTCATAAAAATATTAAATATTGTAACAGTTAACTATTTCATGGGACAAATATTTTTATGAATTTTTTTAACGGGCGTGTTACCAGCGGGGTTTGAGGATCTATTGGCTCGGGACTTGTGGATTGATGGACATGGATGGGACTTTGCCAAGATAGGTCCTTATGTGACTAATGATCGGAAGTTGAACCTRATGACGGTGGTGATAGACGCGGTAACGGGAGCTCAAGACAGGTTAGCGTGGACTGGTAATGTTG